GTCACTGAATTCCCATGTTTATTGGGACACCCTGTACACCAATTTGGTGCCGGTGCACATTTTTAACCAGAGGGTATTTAACCATTCTAACGATAACAAATGTAAATAATAAATGCAGTTTTCAACGGACAATATATACAGGATTTACTATTGTTAAAATTAAAATGAAGAATGGTTAAAAATTCTAAAGGGGGGAGGGAACTGCAAATAGTCTAACAACTACAATAGTGGGCAACAAGAAAATCAGGTTTGTGGTCAAAGGATTATAAATAACCATCTTCAATATGGGCCCCATGATGAAATGCAGAATATAATTTGATTAAAGTTAACAATTGAGTTTATGATTGTCAGTATATAATGTTTACATTAACATTAACATTAACATTAACATTAACATTAACATCAACATTGACTTTAAACAATTCATTAAAGTATATAATGTTAACATATACATTAACAATAACATTAACCAGTAACATTTATATGTTAATATTAATTCACATTTTCATTTGTATGTTAACATTAACATTAATTAAATTAAAGGGAGTGACCGGCTATGTAAGGATGTATGCAGTGTTGTGGAAAACTGTTTTCGGATCCATTTGAGACTATAAAACTTTTTTAAAGATCCGTAAATCCTGAGTTTGAGCGCAAATTCGACGTTCAAAAATCCTACTTTGGGGGTGGATACGTTTTCAGAAACGGTTTTTTTTAAATTATTAAATAATTACGACGAAAAATAAAGTAAAATTTATACAGTAATCTAATTAGATGGTTAGGAACATCATCATTATATTAAATTTCTTATTTTCTTTGAATTTCTTCGCAGATTTCTTCAAATTCTTCAAATGTCGTCTTTTTAATAATAATTCCAGAAAATCTGCGGAAAATCTTTGAATAATGAGAAACCAGAATAATGAGGAAATAGAAACAAATAATTGAACAAGATTACTTATTTTCGATGATGAGATTAATTTTGATTTTCTCAACATGTTCCTAAACAACTAATTAGTTTACTATAGATTTTTTTTTACATTTTATGTCGTCGTTATTTAATTATTTAAAAAACACTAATTCTGAAAACGTATCCACCCCCAAAGTAGGAGTTTTGAATGTCGAATTTGCGCTCAAACTCAGGATTTCCAGATCTTTAAAAAGTTTAATATGTCTCAAATGAATCCGAAAAAAGTTTTCCACAACACTGCCTACTCAGTTTAACTAACTTACATAGCCGGTCACTCCCTTTAATAAATAACATCAACATAGTCGATCATATCGTGCCTGGTATCAAAACACAGAAATCATCTCCGCCTTTCCCCGTCCCACAGCCAAAGGAATTCTTTATTTCTACAGAAGGTTTATCAAGGGTGCAACATCAATTTTTAAAACCAAGCTAAGAACATTCCCATAGTTCACCGAGTTCCCCAATTATAATTTTAGCACATCGGTGATTCATGAGTTATGATCGGACATTAAAAAACTAAAGATTACTACTTTATGTATATAGATATCTGTTGGCGTCAGGTAGCAACTTTTTATGTTTTTACCAAACAGGTAGAATTTAGAGGACAAGGTAAAGCAGTTATCTAGTTTAAAATGGCAACTTTAAGAACAAACTCATGGTCCTGTAACAAATTCAGTATATTTGCAAACACATAAAGTGAAAAACATAAAATTTAAAATGTGAATGAGCGGAAAAGTGGAGATACAGCTGAAAAAGTCTGAAAAATGTCAAAGGATTAGATTTTTAATATTATCATCCATCGATATTTGTTAATACAAATGAAACGTCATTTTTGAAGTACTTGATGGCCAATCTACTTTTTGAAAAACTATCTTAGCTAGTTTGTGAATATTTTTATATATATATATATATATAAACTCTATGCTTTGCCCAGGTTTAAAACACTTGAGATTGTTTAGAATGCATAAAAGAAGTTATATCGAACATATATAAATTAAATACTAGCTTGGAAACCTGACTTCGCCTGGAATTATAAACTTTCTCTCTAAAAGTCAACCCACTCAATTTAGAATTTAAGAAGTTAACACAAAACCGAGGTTCAACCCTGGTTCCCCAATCAAAATCTAAAGCAAATCGGTCCAGGGGTTTATGAGTTATGATTGGAAATCCAAACAAACAAACAGAGGGAATATACAGGGTTACCAACAAAGAATTATACTGTAAAGACGACCCGAAACTCTTTAAATGTGACTAATTCAAGATTAAGTGAAGTCTTCTGCTTTGAATAAAGTATTGTTATTGCCTTTTTAATGATTCAACCAAGAAAGAGATTTAACCATTGCGGGGAATCCTAAATATAAGGAAACAGACAGTGTACGTTCCATACAGTCGTCTCTATAGTCTCCTCCTTTGTACGTGGGTAACCTTGTATATAAATATATATGCATAGATATAGATAATCTATACTTTTTGTCCATTTTTCTTATAAAAGAGAAGCATAAAAAGAATGTGTCATTCCCAAATGACTGGTTCCATGATAAATTCCGCCCCTTGTACACTGTACAGTTGTTTAAACACTAACCCTTAATCAGACTTTGATCAAAATGTTTGGTGATCTTATTCTCATTATTGTGAAATACAATGACGACTTTAAAACTAAAATTACAGAGTATCTTAAAATGTTGATGGACTTAACCCTATTCCTGCTGGGGGGGGGGGGGTCCCTCTGTTTTTTTAAACTGTTTAAAAAATATAATGGTTAGAGAGCTGAAATTTCTTGACTTTTTCTAAATATTTATTTCCTAAATTCTTAGAAAAAATCTTTAATTACATTACCACTTCAAATTGTCAAATCTTGAAGATTAATAGCTTTTTAGATAGCTAAAATCCAGGAAAATAAAAATCCCTCAAATTTTGTTCTCTTTTTGCAAACGCTTTCCACAAATTTGGCAACACAATATTCACTACAAATAACAGTTCTTTTATTCTTTCAACAATAGAAAATCATATGTTTTTGGAAAGCTGCTGCTGAGAAGAGATCAGTTTTGCAATATTTTTGAGCAGTAATGTTATTTTTGCACAGGTTTCATGCTAACACATGTTTTTTCCATTAACATTGATTTAACCATGTTATAAATTAGAAAGAAACTGCTCAGGCAAAAAGACTTTCTTAATATTTCTTTATTTAAAATATTTCATCATTTTTGAAATAGTCGAATGTCAGATGCTTTCCAAAAATGTGTAATATTCTCTGTATGAAATATTTTGAATTTGTGCGGAATGGGAACTACAAAAAATGGCAAATATTCCTTATTTGTTCTAGTATTATATAAATGGACTGAGAACTGTGCATTATTTCATAATGGTATGATATTATTCTTTTGTATGAATTTACATTGCGAAATGGCAAAATAGTGACTTATTTTTTACTAATCTAAAACTTTAAAGGGACAGTAAAGGAAAAATGAAAGGGGGTATAGGCTGAAAGCTAATCACTTTAGCTCTTGATCGCGACCCATGAAAGTTTTATCTGATGTTACTATCTCGAGAAATTGATATAAAACTGTGTTAAAATCATACAAAAGTTCATATATGTAAAATTTAGAAAATCTTAAACTTAAATCACGTGACCAGAACTATCACCAATGGCAGAGCAGTATACTGATCACGTGTCTCTGCCTGTATCACGTGACCACTTTACTGCACTGTCATTGGTGGATTTTCTGGTCAAGCAATTCGGACGTGTAAATAATATTATGAATTAAATCTATTAAAAATAGAAATAACAAATATAAAATTAGAATTGGAGTAAACCTAAGTAATAATTAGCTTTCTCGGGGATATTATCGTTTTCAGATTGGTTGCTTATTTGCTGAATTTGATCTATTTAAACCCACTACTTTTATACAAAATTGTATATATATTAATTTTCGTATACATTTGACACAGTTGTAAATCAATTTCTCGAGATAGGAACATCAGATAAAACTTTCATGGGTCGCGATCGAGAGCTAAAGTGATAAGCTTTCAGTCTATACCCCCTTTCATTTTCCTTTACTGTCCCTTTAAGGTTAACCATAATCTTGAGATAAATTTTACTTGGTTGTGCTAAAAACTAAATAAAAAAGGAAAAGAAATGCAACATATGTACTTATTTGAACATCTTTTTTTGCAAACCCAGTTTTTTTGCAAATCTGAATTGGCTTATTCAAGAACTTTCTAAAAATGTATAATTTGTCATATGTATCTTTAAAATTCCTCCAAAAATCCACCCCCCCCCCCCCTTCTGTTTTCCCATCCGAGAGGGGTAACATTTGTTAGGTTCATGGAGAAAAAAAAAACACAATCTTCTCCCGTTTTCAGAGAGAAAAATGAGATTTTAGGGTGGGTCACTGACTCAAACCCCCCCCCCTTACCCTTTTAGAATAAAATTTTTATACAAAATGGTCTTTTACTTACAGAGTGCATATTCAGTCCCTGTTTGCAACAAAATGTCAGTTTCGATCAGTATCTGATTAATTAAACATAAATTTTGTTGTTTAATCTCTTACGTACATTTTTGTCGGCGAATGTGCTTTAAATGAAAAAAGAAAGGACACAAAACGTGATTAAATAAGAATGTAAGTCCAGGGTCATCTCAGGATTAAGTGTACTTTGTACTCTAAAAAAAAAATTTTAATAAAAGCTTTTTTATTATTAATTTGTTAAATTTCTAAACCAATAGGAAGATAATTTTATGAATTTTGAAAACTAACCTAAAAAAAACTTTATTTAAACAAAATGTTTACAATATCGCGGAAACCTGGTTCAAAACATGACAGTACATCTTCATTATATATATGACCTCCTCTGTGGGACACTCCCCCCCCCCTTCCCTTAGCGTCTCCCCAAGCCCTCAATAAAGAATCCTGAGTAGCCAATATCTATTTCTTGGGTCAACTAATATTGAACTGTGTTGTTTCAACTAAAACATATACAATAATACCCTTACACTCTACTATATAAAGTTGAAACCATCTCACTCTGTTTACCATTATCTCCCTGTATACGGAAGGGGAAGGGTATACTCCAGTATGAAGTTTCAACTACTTGTGGTAGGGTTAGCGAATATTTTTATAATTTTTCTGCTTCATGATTAATAGATATATGATTCAATCACCAAAAGCAATGTTTCAATATAGACAATCTATAAGTTTGCAATATTAGAACACGCAAATTGTTTTTGGAATTTTTTAAGAAAGTAATACCATAAATTTGGCGAAAAAAACTTGTTGACTTCTTTTTGTATTCTTAGGCTGTTCTGGTTGGCAGTGGAGTAGCATTAGCTAGCCCTCAGTACTTCAGCCAGTACAGAACTGCATCTCCCTACTCCTATTCTCCTTATTATCAAGCTCCATTTACCGCCTTTAATAATGGACCAATCTCCCCAGTTGTGAAGCGTCTTCATCAAGGGTCTCCATATGCTGCTAGATTTGCTCCACGTGCCCAACCCTACTATCAGCCTCCATACACCTTCCAACCCGCCCCAGCTCCCGTGGCTGCTCCTGTGGCTGCTCCAGTAGCTCCATTGGTTGTTTCTGCAAGGTCTTTGCTGGATGATCCTTCTGAGCTCAAGGATGTGAACGCTCCTCGCACCATCAGCACCTTCCCAGCACCTGAGAAGACTGTCTACTTCAAAGGATATAACTTTGAAAGATTAAACCAAAATTCTAGGAATGGAAATATTCCTGACCTTGCTTCCTATCAGCCTTCAACAGATCACAAGCAGTTTCCCATTGACTCACATGGTTATGCTCTCAAAGCATTCCAGTTCCCAATTGGAATCACAAATGCCATTTCAGCCACCAGATCTTCCAACTCTCCCAATGCTGCTGCTGCTCTTGCATACATGAAGGCTATTGGAAGCACTGATATCTGTGCCAGATCCACCCAGCTTTATCTGGAAATCATCCTCAGGGGAGGAAGTGTTGATGAAGCTAACTCTGCTGCTACTCAGATCTACATTGATGACTACAACAATGGTTTGTCTGTTGCCCCTGGATCTGCCTGCGAGGCCAGTGACATTGCCTGGAGACAAGCTGAGAAGGAAGGAAAGGACCCTGTGGTGTACTCTGCAATTGCTTTCATGGAAAACTGGCCAGGAACCAAGGAAGGAAACCCGTGTGCTGTTTCTGGAAGAGATTATGTCAGTGCCATCATTGAAGGAGCTACACATACTCAAGCTAACCTTCTTGCTGCTAAGAGCTTTGCAGCTGCCATCCAAAGTTTGGCTGCAAAAGGAAAAGAACTTAGAGACCCTGCATGTGCTGCTGCTACCAAGGCATTTTATAATGCTCTGTCTGAGAAACCATCCCCCCCTAACGGTGCTGCTATGCTTGCTTTTGTTGACAAGGCTTTGAACGGAAGTTTCAGCTTTAAGTATGACCCTGTCTGCTGGAGATCTACTGAAGCCTTCTTTGACTCCTATGCTGCTGGAAACGATGAGCTGACTTCTAATCTTGCTGCTGCTGAGGTTTTCTTTGATGAGTTTGCAAGAGGAGGTGATGGAATTCCTGCTGATTCTCCTTGTGCTGCTGCTACTGTTGCATACTATCAAAACATTCAGAACCCTCCCTCCCCTCCCAACAAGGCTGCTATGGAAGCTTTCATGAATAAGATGATTAGCGGTGGAAAGAGGGAGCCTGATCCAGCTTGTGCAGCTTCAACTCGAGGATTTTGGTAATACTTTATCTAATTTATTTGATATTTTAAAAATTTCTTTTCCAGGAATATAAATTTTAAAGATTATTCTTTATTCATGACAATTCTTTTCAGGCAAGCTTATAAAGCTGGAGCAACTGAGACAGATGCCAATCTTGCAGGAGCTGAAGCTTTCTTCCGTGCCTTTGCTGATGGACTTCAAATTGCTGCTGACTCACCCTGTGCTGCTGCCACTAAAGCTTACTTCTATGCTCTGCCTAACAAACCAAGTCATCCCAACTCAGAGGCTATGATCTCCTTTATGGATGCCATGATTGAGCAAGGAAACAAAAGAGTTTATGATCCAGCTTGTGCATCTGCCACTCTTGCTTTCTTTAACTCCTACAAGGCTGGAAATGATGAATTGACCTCTAACTTTGAGGCTGCGCGTGCATTCATTCAAGAATACAAGAAAGGAGCCAAGGTGCCTGCTAACTCTCCTTGCCTAATTTCTACAAGAGTTTATGCCGCCAACATCAAGGACAAGCCCAGCCCACCCAATGCTGCAGCTATGCTTGCTTTCATGGACGAAGCTATTCTTTCTAACATGGACAAGCCAGATCCAGTCTGTCTAGCTTCCATGGATGCATATTTCAACACATATCTTGGAGGTTCATCTGAGGCTGAAGCTAACGAGGCTGCTGGAATTGCTTTCCTTGATGCTGTTGCTGCTACTCCTGATTTTAACCCAGGCAGCCCATGTGGAATTTCAGCCAAAGCATACATGGGAAGGTTTGATTTGCTCTAATCTTCCCAAATGTAAACTTTCTCTAACCTCTATTTATTTATTTATTTATACTTTGACAGAAATAAACACCTCAGAATAAAAACAATAAATTGTCTGATTAAATAACACAAATAAGTTAAGATCACCTTAAGAAATACCCTGATCACAACAGCTAAACGAGTATCAATTTGGTATCTTGCCCACTTTATGTTATACTATGATACCTCTCTTCTGTCCATTATGTCTCAATTAAACTAGAAATTGTCAGACACAATAGGTTCAACAAATCATATTGAAGAGACTTGAGGCCGAATTTAAAGAATTTGAACTGCTGCTCAAATATGGTTGGTTCCACTTAAAGTTGTATTATAAGTTTTTCAAGATTTAAGCCGGAGCTTAATTGAAACCGTTTTTTGGGTGATTTGAGACGCGGCTTAAATTCATTCAATTCGGACACTGATATACGAAGATGGCAATGCCCGATTTACATTGGACCCTTGAAAGCTTTGTCTGATCAAGTATAAATAAGATATGTCTATGTTTTTGATCCTTTAAACCGTTATTTTCTCTGTAAAAGTGACTTGCTCATTACTTGTTAAGAATCAATGGAGATACTCACAGAAAAAAAACGACAGAATCTTCATCATTTTAAGTTTTAATGATACCAAAGTAAACCAGGCAAGTTTCATTTCATTTCATCAACTTTTAAAGTATCAAGGATAAACTGTGTTTTCAAATATATCAAAAGTCAGAACTTTTGTATTGTGGTTTTTTGAATCTCCGGGTAACATCATTAAAACATTAGTTGAAAATGAAATGAAGTCATTTTTTATATATTACCTCACTCAAAGGAAATGACACTTTGACACAAACTCAAAATTTTGAATCTCTATATATTTGCAACCTGATGGGGTAACCCTTTCATATTTCAAACTTGTTGTTCTAACAGAGGTTGGGTTTCAAAGATATACGGATATAAAATCAGAGCTAGTAGTAAAAACTTAAAAATAGTTAGAAAATTCAAGGGTAATCTAATCCATCTATCCAACACTAACTGTATACGTGTCTGAAAATCTGTCTTTTTCATGAATTGTGAAATACTTACATTAACAAATTTGGCGGATTTTCCAAAAACAATATATAAATCGAAATACTTAGATTTTTTTTCGGTCATACCTTCCTTAGGGTCATATGAATTACCATATCAATTTTGGGCCTTTTTGGCTTTACCGTTGTGACGTTTATTAACGACAAACCAACAGACGAATGTTTATAGATGGTATACCCAGGTATACTGCATCAAGTTCTGTCTAAACAGGACTAGGGTTTTCTCTAATACATAATAGTATCCACACCGTGCCATTAAAATATACATACAAGTACAAAAACATCCACTTTTATATTCTAATTTCCTACATTTCTACAGCCGTTGTAGTTTAGAGTTTTTTAATGTCCAAAAACTGTATAACTATAAGTATATTATAGTTTTATTTAATGTTTGTGCACTTCGTCCCAGCAGTAAGAGAAAAGTTACTTTAATTTTTATTTAAGAATTATTCTAGTAAAATGCAAAGGAATTGAGTCTTTGCCACCAACTGATTCGGATATCTTTGCAACCTGACGAAGTAAAATTTTGATATTTCAAACGTGTTGCTTTTATAAGGAGACAATGCTTAAACACTTCTAATACCCAAAACCTCGAAAACACTTCCTTTAAAGGATTGAACGAAATTCATTCAGAAAACATTGGGTTACAAAGATATATCTGGGATTATAAAATTAGAGTTTGAGACAAACACTCAATTCCTATGTTTGGTGAAATCCGGAAACAGTGATAAAATATATACATAAATAGCTAATTTATTATTATAGCAAGATGATTACTTTATAGTACTGTAATAATGAAATTAACCAAGATGTAACCAAAAATAGAACAATTACTTTATAAAACTGTAATCGGATTCAGGGAACTTTGTATGCCCTTAGCTGAGAACTTTAGAATGGTGGATATCAGGATTAATGCTTGATCCTCTCTCTCTCGACTAATATAATCTCAAGATTATGTTAGTCTCGAGATTGAATATTTTGATCAACACATTTGATTCTAAGAACACCAGATTTGTTGGGTTTTTTTTTGACTGGAAGGGCTTTCATTCCATTCCAAACGTAATATTAAATATTTTTCTTCACCGATAAAAATTTACAAAATAGCCGACAACAAATTCTTTATTTGTTATAAATTGCGGATTTCTCTCATGGGATAGAATTTATTTTCAAGGCTGTCATTGGTCAATACAATTTACAAACTATATTCCTACACTCTCATTGGAGAAAACAATGTACGGATATCCAAAGAGAGAGAAAAAGATAGGATTAAGGACTAAAATAAAAAGTTTCCACAGTGGATATTCGGAATAAGTAGTTGGGATTAAAGGTCTAAAGTTCCCGGCTCTGGGAATGATCTGAGCTGGGAACTTTAGAATGGTGGATATCAAGATAAATGCTTAATCCTCTATTTTTGCTAATCTCGAGACTAACATAACTAACTAAGATTTGTTAGTCTTCTTGACTGGAAGGGCCTTCACTTAATTTCTCACCCATTTATTTATCAATACATTAGTTAAAATTGGTTAAAAAAGAATCTCAAACGTATTATTGAATATTTTTCTTCCCCGATTAATTTACAAAATGGCTGACAACAAATTCTTTATTCGTTAGAAATTGCCGATTTCTCTATGGGATAGAATTTATTTTCAAGACTGTCATTGGTCAATACAATTTGCGAACTATATTTCTGCACTCTCATTGGAGAAAAAAATGTGCGGATATCCAAAGAGAGAGAAAAAGATAGGATTAAAGACTAAAATTAAAAGTTTCCACAGTGGATATTCGGATTAAGTAGTTGGGATTAAAGGTTATCCATTCTAAAGTTCCCAGCTCTGGGAATAATCTGAGCTGGGAACTTCAGAATGGTGGATATCAAGATTAATGCTTAATCCTCTATTTTTGCTAATCTCGAGACTAACATAACTAACTAAGATTTGTTAGTTTTCTTGACTGGATGGGCCTTCACTTAATTTCTCACCCATTTATTTATCAATACATTAGTTAAAATTGGTTGCAAAAGAATCTCAAACAAATTCTTGATTTGTTAGAAATTGCAGATTTCTATCATGGGATAATATTTATTTTCAAGGCTGTCATTGGTCAATGCAGTTCACGAACTATATTCCTGCACTCTTATTGGAGAAAATGATGTACTGATATCCAAAGAGAGAGAAAAATAGTGGATTAAGGACTAAGATAAAAAGTTTCTACAGTGGATATTCGGATTAAGCAGTTGGGATTAAAGGTTATCCATTCTAAAGTTCCCAGAGCTGGGAACTTTTGAATGGTGGATATCGGGATTAATGCTTGATCCACTCTTTTTCTTAAACTCCAGATTAAATATTGCTTGTTTTCCTCATGAATTTAATTTCCAGATTAATTAACAGATCGGGATTAAGGATATCACATTCTAAAGTTTTCAGCTCTGCTCTGAGCTAAAAACTATAGAATGGGATATTCTTAATCCCGATAAGTTAATTAATCTGGAGATTAATAACAAGAGAAGAACAAGCATTATTTAATCTCGAGATTAACAAAAAGAGTGGATCAAGCATTAATCCCGATATCCACCATTCAAAAGTTCCCATCACATTTTTGCATTTTGGGACACCTAAATGAGCAGTAGTGCATGGGGTGTCTCAATAAATGCTCTTTTATCACAACAAACCACGTAAAGGCAAAATTTAATATGTGATCATTGTCAAAAGTGTTTTTTTAACAAAGCAATGTGTTTCATTCTCGTTTAGAGGTGCGCACTCGCAAAGTGGATAACTCCGGGAAAAATTGTCACTTTCCTCATGTTAAAATATGTCATGACAACAAGAAAAGTAAAGAGGTAACTTCTATTTGACAAGAAAAAATCATCATTCAAGTTTATTTGAAATGAAAGTAACATTATAGCAATTTATGCATGAGCACTTTTTATTGAAATTCAACCCTGACACCACCCTATTCACCTTATGCATAGCTTATAGGCTAGATATATATCAGATGTATGCATATTTACATACAAAGTATCCCAAGTAATTCTGGTTTAAAGCTTAACACCCATCAAAATAATAAAAGAACATTTTATGAAAATATATGTACAGTGAGAACCAGAAAACTTTCGAATAGAAAGACGACTTTTAAACTCAATTTAGGATTTTTAATGAATAAGAAATACGTGCAATAATGCAGTGTACACAGACCTCATTTCAATTAATCATTGATTTATAAGTTACTATTCAAATTATTTAGTGTGTAACAACATCAAATTCACTCAAATATGGCTAAATGTCGTCTTCCTATTCCACAGTTGTGTGCTTCTCACTGTAATATATGTATATACTTTGCTTCTTTGTACAGTCGTCTATGAAGTCTCATTTTTGTAGGTAACCGTATAAATGCAAATATAGTGTTCCATGTTTCCGCTTAAACGGGGTCCAAATGAAAAGCTTTGAAATCGACCAATAATCTGATTTTTCAAGGTCACGGTTCAAATAAGATTTGATTGTTCAAGACCTTCAAAGTGCTATAGTACGTAATTATTCCATTGCAAATTACACATCTTTTTAAATTTTATAGCCTTTAGTTGTAAATGATTGAACGTGGAGCCATCCTACTTTAAAGGTTGCAGAATATCAGAGTACGGATTTAAATCTTGAGGAGTTTTTTACTTAAAATTTGCATTGCTCGAAGCAAGGCTCAATTATAGAGATGGATTAGGCTTCAACCCAACACCAACCATTTAAACATCGAAGGTTTACAATATTTGCAAGAAACCAAAAATATAAGATAAAAGAATCAATAAATTATCTAAAGTCTCATCCTTTGTGGATAACCTTTTATCATTTGGCTTGTCTGTTCGTTTGGGTGTTTGTCTGTTTCCAATAATCCAAAGTTTTTTTAGTTTCAATGCGCCTGTTTTTTTTGGTTGCTGTGACATGTACATTTAGTTTTTGTGCTTAACAAGGGTAGTTAACTACGTAGGAATTTTCGGCAAGGAGGTTAAGGGTTTTAGAATACGTTTGCAG